AAAACGCATATATACGCCAAATAAAGGTCAAATGAGTAATTACCAAAATCCTGTTTGAAACCCTAACTATAAAGAGCATATCGATCACAAACAGTACATAGTGAGAAATTAAACGATCAACGACAGAGAGAAAGGCCGTTACCGAGGAGTTGAAACCCGGCGAAGGCGACGATGGAGGCGGCGGGCTGGAGTATGAGGGAGACGAGTGAGACGATGCGTTTCTTCAGAAGCATAGGGTAAGGGAGAGTCAAGATAAGGGCGATCGCGACCTCCGCGGCAACCACATACGATAGAATCAGCCATTGCAATGCCATCTTCTCCTAGATCTCTCTCTCTCTTTCGCTTTCTTTTTCTCTCGGTCGTCTTCTTCGTTAATGATCTGGAATCTGCGCGCGGCCGACACGTATGTACGCCGCTTGTCCTTGACTTTTTTTTGTTTCCTCGATCTTTTAGTTGATGGGCCTTTCCGGCCCATTAACTCACCATTTTTTTAAATCTTTTTAGTAGCTTCTTCTTTTTGTTTCTCGGTAGATATGAATTGGGTATTGGTGAGATATATTCTAAAAACGGTTAGAGCAACTCAAAGGGTTTCTGAACCTGGAAGACTCACAAAAAGCAAGAGGTACGAGCATAAAAGACATGAATTCAGGATTGAATTTGGTGGTTTCTGAAATTTTTCGAGGATTCCACTACCACGTGGAGCCCACGATTGACACTTTTTTTTTTTTAAATTAGATAAAAAGAAAAAAAAAAGAAATAAAGAAATCCATTTAAGTTTCTGCCTTAATGATGCTTTTAGATGGATGCTTAGACCAATTTTGTGAATGTTAAGACCAATTTTCAAATAAATCGGTTTGGAAAATCATTTCATCCACATCTGATTTGCGGACTAAGTGGATGTCTAAACACCTTGCTTAAACCGATTTTTAGAACATTAGATGAGACTATTGGCTTTGTGTATGTATGTTTAAAGACTTTTCAGACTCTCTGAGGGATCTCCGTTTATGTGTACGTAACATTACGAGAGCTTGTAGTTATAGGTTTATAGCTTTCGGAGAGACAAGAATATTGGTGGTACTTAAAGAAAAAAAAATCTTCATCTTATACTTGGGGAACCTTTTTTATATGTTTATTTTGCGCATTGCTTTTTAGACTCGTCGTGTTTATCTCAGTGCGTAAACTTTGATTTTAAAGGAGATAGCAAACACCAAATGCAGCTGCGCTCTTATTTCATAATCCGATTTACAAGGCTCTGTCGATTTTCATAAGATCATGTCTACTACACCAGTTCTTGCTTATTTAATGTGATGTAGTTCTCTCTGACAATAATAGTATACAAACACATTTCAAGGGGAAGAGAGAGAGTCAAGGGGGAGATAGTGAAAAGAGGGAGTTAGTTAATTACATTATTGTCTTAAATTAGTGAAGAGAGTTTTGCTTTCTTTATTTATCTGTAAGATAAAACTTCTGACATCTATTCTCCTCTTCTGTTCAAACATTTGAGCACAAGTTAAAAAAGAAACGATGGCACTCGCCAGAAACTCTGACTCCGAAGAGCATTTGCATTCCACTTTCGCTTCCAGATATGTCCGTGCTGTTATTCCCAGGTTCTTATTCTTGACTCTTTCCTCATCTTTAGTGTGTTTTCCCCCTTTATGTTATGATTGCATTATTCTTTTGAATATCTTAAAACAGGTTCAAGATGCCTGACCATTCCATGCCCAAAGACGCTGCTTATCAAGTTATCAGCGATGAGTTGATGCTTGATGGCAACCCCAGGCTTAACCTAGCTTCCTTTGTCACCACTTGGATGGAACCTGAGTGTGACAAACTCATGATGGAAGCCGTGAACAAAAACTACGTTGACATGGATGAATATCCTGTCACTACCGAGCTCCAGGTTCCTCCTTATGTTCATTATAAATATATGTTCAAGCCTGTTTTCCATATCGTATTAATACCTCTTAATCTCTCTTCTTCAGAACCGGTGTGTAAACATGATAGCCAACTTGTTCCACGCTCCCGTTGGAGAAGACGAGGCTGCTATTGGTTGCGGAACTGTTGGTTCATCTGAGGCTATAATGCTTGCTGGTTTAGCTTTCAAAAGAAAATGGCAACAGAGGAGAAGAGCTCAAGGTCTACCTACTGATAATCCCAACATTGTTACTGGTGCCAATGTTCAGGTCCATATATATAAGAAACTTAATTCTCATCCTCCAACCATTACATCTGATTTGATTCTTTTAAAATATTCAAGAATCTTTTTATGTTAACTTGTGTATCATTCTGGCAGGTGTGTTGGGAGAAATTTGCAAGGTACTTTGAGGTAGAACTCAAAGAAGTGAAACTAAGTGAAGGCTATTACGTGCTTGATCCAGCTAAAGCTGTAGAGATGGTGGATGAGAATACAATCTGCGTTGCAGCGATTCTAGGATCCACACTTACAGGAGAGTTTGAGGATGTGAAGACACTAAACGATCTCTTAGCTGAGAAAAATGCGGAAACTGGTTGGGATGTTGCTATTCACGTTGATGCAGCAAGTGGAGGATTCATTGCTCCTTTCCTCTACCCTGATCTTGAATGGGACTTTAGGCTTCCATGGGTGAAGAGCATCAATGTCAGTGGTCATAAGTATGGACTTGTCTATGCAGGAGTTGGTTGGATTGTTTGGAGAACCAAAGATGATTTGCCAGAGGACCTTGTCTTTCACATTAACTACTTAGGAGCTGATCAACCCACTTTCACTCTTAATTTCTCTAAAGGTTTTGTATAACCCACTATTTTTTTTTTTTATAACGAGTTTTAATTATGCTATTACAAACTATAAGAAAGTATAACCGCTAGCTTATCCAATTATTTCGTCAATTGCATTTCCTCTAACAAAAATTCGATTTCTTTTGCAGGGTCGAGCCAAATCATTGGTCAGTACTATCAGTTTATCCGTCTAGGCTTTGAGGTACTTGTTACTTTTATATTGTATCTTCTTTACAGTTTCATCTTATTCTAAGAAAACTATATAATCATAAAAGGGATATAAGAACATAATGGAAAACTGCATGGACAATGCGAGGAGGCTAAGAGAAGGAATAGAGAAGACAGGGAAGTTCAACATTGTGTCTAAAGATATAGGCGTGCCTCTAGTGGCATTCTCTCTCAAGGACAGTAGCAAACACACCGTGTTTGAGATTGCAGAGTCTTTGAGGAAATTTGGGTGGATCATACCAGCTTACACTATGCCTGCAGATGCACAACACATTGCTGTGCTAAGAGTTGTCATCAGGGAAGATTTTAGCCGAGGCCTTGCAGATAGACTCATCACACATATCTTACAGGTTCTGAAAGAGATTGAAGGGCTTCCTAGCCGGATTGCGCATATAGCAGCAGCTGCAAAGGTTAGTGATGGTGAAGAGAAGACTGCTAAGATGTCGATGCAGGATATCGCTAAGTATTGGAAACGCCTTGTGGAAAACAAGAGAAATATTGTCTGTTAGGGCTAAAGTGGAGATGAGTCTTCATGCTTCTTCTTTGGACCAGTCACGTTCTTGGTAATAAGGTTTTTAATTTAGACCATTTGAACTTAACTTATTGTTTTTTATTTCTTGGCATTGTAAACCTAAAGAGTCACTTTTCAATAGTCTGTTTGAGTCTTGATTAGTAGTACTTGGTAGTTAAAGTTAGGTTTGTTCACTCTGGCTGCCTGGAACAAACATAACCAAACCATTTAACAATTGATTTGAAATAAGATAAGTTTGGTTAATTGCATTTCGTTTCTCATTTTTCAAAAACTGAACAAAAATATTAAACCAAAGTAAGATATATGTATATGTTTTTTGTTCTTTTCATATTATTGATACATTTGTGACATAAGTGAGATAGAAACGAAATCATATTTGAAATTACTTGTTCATTAGAAGAAAAAAACAAATGAATCAAAATCTTAGTCGTGTTGTGTTAGCTGATACCAGTAGGTACCATTTAGAGAACTATGAAGAGTCCAAACCAAGACGATAAGGAGGCTACATGACCGATGCTATAAGAATAGTTTACATGACATAAGCACGAGCTTGAGAGATGAATCTGAGACCTATTCGGCAGTGCTCTTTTGTATTTATAGTAAAACAAATTGAGTAAATATGTAACTTCATCATTTACCAACAACAATTATTAGATTAATATAAGACTCAAACCATTTTTTGACATTTCTATTATAAATGTTTTTGATCATACTACGTACTTATACTAGACATATTGTACTAATATCTGAAGATTTTAGTATACGCATGCTCATAGTATATGCTTTTTAACAAATTTTCCTATATTAATTTTGACGGTTTAGCCATTTGGTCATATACTATACTAGTCAAGCAAGAAGAACATTACGTAAAAATGCATGCTTGTGTTCCTCCATATAGTATGAATAAACCCCTATGGTGTGTGTTATCTATGGTTTTTGCAAGGAAATGAGATGTATACATATTGTTTTTAATTAAATATATGAATTCATTGACTTGTAATGCAAAGATGTAAATATTGTTATATGTTCTATTCGGTTTATTGAAAAACATACTAAATGTAGAACAGGAACGAGAAATGATCGGATGTATAAGAGATGCGTGAGGAAAAAGAAAGACAAAGTCTCCTTGATCGCAAGGCAAGGGATCTTTCTCTTTCGAAGAGAGTGAGATCAGAATCTTAGATTTATACTTTCATCAATCTCTTCACTTTCACCTTTTCCTTGTTCTGTCCTCTTCTTTCAAAGAATATAGAACCATATATGATCAAAGTTTTCTTAGCAATATTATTCACCTTTTTTTTTTCTTACTGGCAATATGATCATATATTAATTTTTTTCCTAGTATATATAGTCAGACTGTTAGAGATCTCTGATTTTTATGTAATCATGTAAATCTTCGTCTCATGGCAGCTGCAACATTTGTCTTACACTAAATCTTTGAACTAAAAAATTGAAACTTGGTGTTCACCTTGTTGTATAGACTTATCATAAACCCAAATATCCTTGTCCATTAACTTGATCTGTTTACACCCATGTGAGGAAAAAAAACAAAGGTACCCTTGATGATCCATAGAGCCGTCAAATCATTGGACAATAACAACATCAATCCCAAAACAAAACAAAAAACAAAGAAAAACAACAACCGTAGGTTTTATTCCAGCGATTATAGATAATAAAGTACAACAGAAGTGTACCTAAGTGTTTGCGTTATTTACCCAATATTCTTTGTTGTTTAATAGTCAATATAAACCGCTTGACCATGTCCCATAGGTGCAGCGTTTGAAGACGTGTCCCATGCGTCATCTGTGATGAATTGCATCCAAGAATCATCTTTGTCGTCGGCGACGTCTTCTACGCAGGCGGAGGAACCTCCAACTTCCGGCGACATTGTCTCATAATCATTATTATAATTAATATTATTATTACAAGAACTGATCTCCATTGATTCTGTGGTGAAGCTACATTGTCCCGTTTGTAATTGCTGTCCTGTTTCCAACTCCGAACATATCCCGTTTTTCTTGAACACCCGACATAATGCATACGAGTCCTGCACCACCAAACCATTTAAACTAAATATTTACAATGCAGTTTTAATATTTACATGTCTATAGTAGTATCCTAGTGTAGGAATGTAATAACTAATAAGAATAAAATATAAGTATTAGCTGTGGCTTTTTTCTTCGTCGCAGTAAAGCGAAAGCTAAACCCTAAGCTTTTGCCAGCTTACAACAATAAACGAATATCAATCATCAATTCCAGCTTATAAGGTTTAATTTTGTATTCTAATCCTACTAATCTTCTTTCTTTTTTTTCTATTTTTCTTAATAGTTAGAATTAGCAATGCATCTCCACGTAATTTTCTTTTTGTTTTTATGTACGTAAAACAGACAAGTAACTATATATTCTATACTATTGTTTTATATATATATAATTTGACCAATCACCTGGAGCGAAGAGGGATCGTCACAATCCTTATCATCGAGACGATACTCATGCATAACCCAATCTGTTCGGATACCTTGAGGAGCTCTTCCTCTATAGTAAACCAATGTCTTCTTCATCCCAATCGCCCTGCTTTGACTCGTCACTCTCCGATCTTTCCCAGTCGATTTCCAATATCCACCTCTCGTTGCTCGGTTCGTCCTAAACCCATTCGGATACTTCCGGTCACGTGGCCCGAAAAAATACCATTCTGGATCTCTACTTGGTAGATACGACTTCTCTGTAAGTTTTTTAAGAAAAAAATTATAAATCATATCATATATAACAATAAAACTAAACGATAAGATTATGAGTCCAAGAGCCATGAAGAATGCAAGATAACGTACCTGCAAGGTCCCATGGCTCACATTTGTAGAGATCAACCTCAGGGATTATATCTAGCTCGATTTCTTGACCATTGATCTTTCTTTTCAGATAATAGTTTACGAGTTCTTCGTCCGTTGGATGAAATCTGAAGCCTGGAGGTAATCCTACAGGAGCCATATATGAATCTCACAAATCACTTACAAGATCGGGTTCTTAGGAGTGCACCTCATGTCTCTTCTCTCAACCAACTTGATATATATATACACATAAAACTTTATGGTGCTACATTGGTTATTTAAATTGATTTTTCTTCACTTGTAATATATCTCTCAGCTCTCCTTCCTTTCTTTTTGTTGTTTTCATCTTTTGCTTTATCTTTTTGTAGATTCTTGACAAACGTTACCCACAAGCTCCTTACGCTTCCTTCGTTGTAGAAAAAGGTTCAGTTTTGATCGCGTTCTCATGTTACATATGATATTTTGTATATATAACTAGGGCCGGCCCGCCCTACGGGCGGGATGTAAATTATGAAATTATTTTTAACAGTTTTAGGTTATGGTATTAAATATTGTATTAAGTTTTTTTTTTATGTTTTTTACATTTGGTGTTTGTGAGGCATGTACGCTACTATGATATGGTGCTTAATAAACACTGTTTGTTTTATAAGTTTTATATTTATTGAATTTGTTCCTGTGAAGCATGTTTATGAGTCTGATATGTGTCGTTTGGTTTAAAAATACGGATCTTTGAACAAAATAAAAAGTTTTTAGGGCGTGCCCCGCGCAAGCGCGGAGATGTTGACAATTATATGTGTCTTAATAATTTGAAAATGTTATAGGAAGTGTTTTAGAGGGTCTCGTCAAAACAGGATGGATGGTTTATAATTCAAAACGGTGATGCTATTTTTTGGAGCACTTGTATTACTTCCTGTAGTAAAACTATTATATCTCAGAGGTTTTGCTTCTATAGTACTTGAACATGAATGTATTATGTTGGTGAAGATGAATGATCATGAGTTCTTCTACAATATAGCTGTTGAAGGCAGCATTAGATTTTGACTCCAAGTAAGGTGGCCGCTACATTTATATTTACAAAGTAATGGGACGTATGAATTTGTAATTGACCCTACCAGTGTTCTTTTCATTGAGGTTGATGTGTTGTCAAAGTAATGGGACGTATGAGTTTGTACTGCATGATAAAATGAAGTGCATAAGTGGACAGCATAAACTCTAATACTCGTTAACATTCCCCATAATTTAATCAAAAGTAAATACTAACTCCAGTAGGTGAGAGTTTAATAAGAAAACTCAGAAATTGAAAAATTTAGCAATTTAGAAAAGTGAAAACGCAGGAAAGCTAAGTGGGATTGATGGTTTGCTGGACTTGTTGTACCAAGGGGGCGCTTGCGACTCTTCTCTTTCTCAACCAAGCTTGGTGGATTTGCTTCATCAACGTCCATGGCGTTGTTGGGAGAATCCCAGTCTTGGTAGCAGATGATGGTGCTTGTTCTGGTTGGAGATCTCCCCTTAGAGCCTTATCAGCCTCGAGTTTCTGTAAGAAAAAAAGACAGTCAAAGTTTAATTGTTATTATACTGTTAAGTCAAGTTAAAGGTAAGATGAGACAACCTCGGATGTGGTCAAGGAAGACATCTTCAGTGATTGCAGACACAATGAAGGTACGGTGGTCGGAGGTGAAATTGAAGGGAGTGTGACATATGTGGAGCACATATTGATTACCATCTAGAAGCAGGAGGATTAGAAAAAGGCCAGTTAATTGATATATATATTCCTGTTCGATGCAAGATACACGTAGCTCGGTTCCAGCTACTTGATCAACTTTTTCATCAACAAATTCATTGACTTTGTATATAACAGCGTCCAAATGGACAACTGTATTCACCAGAGCCTTTATCATATAATCTTTTGGTGTCTCCACGACTCTGCATACACACGTATAAGCTTTATAAGTAAATAAATAGTCTAATAACAATTAAGAGGAATAAAGTTTCACTGAAAATTGTGTGTTTCCATCGTTTGTGTAGGATAATTCGAAGTACATAGCTGCTGAATACAGCTGTGTGCTCAGATTCTTCAGATCCTGCAAAACAAAGATGTCATACTAATAAACCTCTTCTTGTTGATACTCAGACTGATTCGTTGAAACATGGAAAAAAAATAGAATTGATCAGTCACAAGTCTTGTGAAAATTACTCAGTTTCAAGAGTTGTGAATATTACCTTAAGACTATCAGAGAAGAGCAGACTGTTGCACAAAGATTTCATCGTAGTTTGAGGCATGTGCATTTTAGCCGCTGCACTTATTTTGATTCTAAGGTTAGCTAACAATGGAGTCTTAAAAGCACAGAAGAAGGTTTGGACTTTAGACCTTCAACGCCAGTATACTGTTTTTTTGGTTAATAATGGGCGTGTAACATAATGAAGAAATTTAACAGCAAACAAAATATATCAGTTTTCTCGATGAACAAAAAGAACTGAGAATTTGGATAAGATCATACTCACATGATCGATCTGCCGTGTTGCTTGTGGCCTTCCCATCACCTCCCTGCTCGAATCACTGTAATAACTCTCTAAGAAGATGGACGTTTTCTTGGCAGCATCGAGAAGAGAAAGTCAGACCTTTTGACCTCCGACACAAACCGAATCAGACAGTGAACTGAAGCTCAAAACGCAAAAACTCAATACGGTCGAGATCAGGTTGACGAAATAGCAATCAGTTCCAAATGTAATACGTATAAAAAACAGATCTCTAAACCTCATAAACAATTATCAAAGTTTTAACAGCCAAAGATATATGGATTACGCTAGCCTCTGAAAAAAAAAAACGTTTCAAACAAATGAACCGACAAAGAACCGTATCATACCCTTATCGGAAACACATGAACCAGTAGAACCACAAAAATAAAAAAAGAAATCAGTAGAAGTTCTAAGAGATTTTAAGCTTGAAAGAGGAAGATAAAAGGTGAGTCAATAAAAGGTGATAAAGATTCAGATCTTACATGTCCATCTACGAAGAGTAAATCAATGAACTGGATCTCTCCACCACGCCTTATACGCCCTGATTGCCGGAACCGGAGAAGCCGTGCTTGAACACCATAGGAGCACCGGCCGATCTGCAAGTCAGAGAAAAAAANTTGAAAGAGGAAGATAAAAGGTGAGTCAATAAAAGGTGATAAAGATTCAGATCTTACATGTCCATCTACGAAGAGTAAATCAATGAACTGGATCTCTCCACCACGCCTTATACGCCCTGATTGCCGGAACCGGAGAAGCCGTGCTTGAACACCATAGGAGCACCGGCCGATCTGCAAGTCAGAGAAAAAAAAATTGGAAGACGCCATCTCGTAGAAGAAATCTCGTGAGCCCAGGACTTACGTGCTTTTATGGAGAGAACCTAACATTTATGTCAGGCTTGCGCAATTGAAACCGGCCGTTTATGTTACAGGCGAGATGGAGAAGCCAAACGTCGAATATCGCTGGGGAAGGGAAAGCGTAGAGGTCGAAGAAGAACGAAAAAAAAAAAAAAGGGCCAGATAAGGGAATGCGAAGCCCACACGAATTTGGAATGCGGCCCAACAACAGAATGTGTGTCCGACGTGGCATTTGTGACGTGTCAGCCGACGTGTCATAGCTAAGGAGAGATCCAGCTTTAGTTTATATAATAGATTAATCTTCTTAAGTGGCCGTAGTCTTTTTATTAAACTACTTGTTATGGAGAAACACAATGACGTCACAAATGGTTTTTAATCTAAATTAAAGCTTAATCCGCGCATTTGCACGGATTTTTATTTTTATTTTTTATAAATAATTTTTTATATATAAAATAATATATAGCTTTGAAATGTATATATATTAAATGATTATTCCATATGTGGGTTAACCCCTACAAAGATCTATTTTTCCAATAAATGCTATCCTCCTATACATTAAAAGAGAAGTCACTTTGACACGTGGCAATCATAGAGGCCTTCTCAGATAAATTCTTTTAATTTGATTGGTTGATTTATTTTAATTTTCTTTTTTATTTATTTTTTGTTTGGCGTGCAAGTGTTACAATTTATATATGAGAATCTCTAAAATTTAATGTATAGGTTATTTACTTTCCTTACCTTATATTTGATAACTTGCTTGAGAAGTTGGAAATTCAATACCAAATATGTCAATCTCATACCATTAGGAAAGCTTGACAATATATATACGAACACAAGTTATAAAACATCTATGGCGGAGGAACATCGATGTCAGACACCGGAAGGCCACCGTCTCTGTGCTAACAACTGCGGCTTCCTAGGCAGCTCCGCCACCATGAATCTCTGTTCCAATTGCTACGGCGATCTCTGTCTTAAACAACAGCAACAAGCCTCCCTGAAATCCACCGTCGAATCCTCTCTCTCCGCCGTATCTCTGTTTTCTTTACTTTTTTACTCTATTTAAGATTTCTTATTGAAAAAAAAAACAGAGGAGAAGGAGATGAAACAGCCGAATCGTTGTACGACGTAGCAGCTTACTTCTTTGGTTTCTATTTCGGGAAGACTCCTTTGATGAAACTGTCTCCAAAGAAAACATGGGAAGGTTTTATTGGAGCATTAGTGGCAACTACAATCTCTGCGTTGCTTGTAAGTAATCATCTTCTATCATTTGATCCGTTCATAACACTTTCTTTTGGTCTGGAGACTGATAAATTATATGCTTCTTACAACAGTTTGCAAACGTCTTAGGCCAGTTCCAGTGGCTTACATGTCCAAGGAAGGTAACAAAAGAATAAGATGTCCATCACTATGTTTCATTGTAGTCTTTACTTGATTATTTATGATGCATCTTGTGCAGGATTTGTCTACTGGTTGGCTTTATTGTGATCAGGCCCTCTGTTCAGGCCAGAGTATTACCCACTGCCCTCTTGGATTGCTCCGTTTGTAAGCAACTAATTACCTTTTCTTATGAACAAACCAATGATGTTATCTTATACAAGTCTTGGCTTTGAAAACTTTGCTTAACAGTCTCCATGGAAAGAGATCTCAATTCTACCAGTGCAGTGGCACGCTTTCTCTCTCGGTCTATTTGCATCTGTTATAGCTCCTTTTGGTGGTTTCTTTGCAAGCGGTTTCAAAAGAGCTTTCAAGATCAAGGTTTGACATTTTCGAGTAGTGATAAGCTTTGCATCTACAGATCCAAGAATGAATCCTTACATGGTTTGGTCGTTTTGACAGGACTTTGGAGACAGCATACCAGGACATGGAGGATTTACTTGCCACGTAAGAGCAACTGACAGAATTATTGCAATATGATGATTATCCTCATTGTTATAACCGAGTCTTGTTGCATAAATTCAGATGGTTATGGCGATTTTTGCGTACATCTACATACAATCTTTCATTGTTCATCAGGACTACAGTGTGGAGACGATCCTAGACCATGTAAGAATCATGATCATTCACTCAATATCATTATCAAGACATTCTATATCTTTGATTGTATTATACCTGCAGATATCGAGGAGCCTGGGACATGAGGAGCAGAAAATGCTTTATGTAAAGCTGGGAGACATCCTCCGACACAAATCGCAAGGCGGGTATTAACAAAAGAGTGTAGGTTTGTTTTGTCACTTTGTTTTCAGTTTCTGTTCTTTTGGTTAATTTCTGATTGTACCAGACCATGTAAAACCTTTACTTGTATCTGATTAATTTATCAAAAGAGACTTGGTAGAGTGTGTTCAACCAATGCATAACCAAAAAAACAAGAGAAAACTATGAATGTTATTAAATCATGTTGCTCAAAACAGAGAACAAGAGCAAAACTTATAAAAGCAGCTTAACTTCTATTTAAGCATCAGACTCTTTCTTGTCTTCTTCGCTCTCTCCTCCTTGAGTAACACCAACCTCAGCTGGTCTTATAACTCGATCAAACAACGTGTATCCAGACTGTAAATATCGACACCCATCGTTAGTAGTTGGTGTGAAAACTATAGAACATGGAAATAAAAAAAAAAAAGAGAAAGTTTCATATATTTACCTTGAGGACATGAGCAATTGTGCCTTCTGGCTTAAAAGCATCAGGTACTTGAAAAACTGCGTTATTTCTGTTTGGATCAAACGGCTCGATGATAGGATCATACTTCTCCATACCAAATTTCTTAAATACCTGCAGCAAACACACAGATTTGGTTGGTCTCATCTACACTGCTTACTTTAGGTCTTACAACAACATTTCTCCACGCAAAAAATAATAATGATGTGTTTACCTCAGCAAGTTGTTTCTCAGTCATCTCCACACCTTCTAAAAGAGTCTTTAAGAGTGGAGTAGCTCCAGCCGAATCTTCTTTTGCAGAGTTAGAATATGATGTGTAACATTTTTGTATATTTATCTAATACTAATGTAAGAATTAAATCGGTTAAAGGCTTTTAATTAGTTAACAAAAAAGACTTTATATATCTCAAGAAATGTCTTTTCAAGAATTTTTATAACAAATATTTCAGGAACCATAAGACTTAACGATAAAATATGATTATTAATTCATAATTATTCTTTAAATTTGATATATTCTGAATTTTTTATTATATATAATTCTAAACAAAATAATATTTTTAGGAAGTATTTTTTTAAATATACATTTAATTGACCTATTTAAAAGTTAAATTTTCGTGAAAATATATGTCTACTATTAAGTAAATTTCTTGTTCTTTTATGATGTCATTTATTAGTAACTATATATATGTGATATTGCATTAAATGTGTATGTTTTTTATATCCTAATTTAATTCAGAAATATGATGATTACCTTATTTTGCTATCAATTACTTGCACAAATATATATGATAATGGTGATTTGAGTTATAAAAACCCAAAACTATTATTCATTTAAAAAACCACAAATATAATGGTGATTTGAGATTTAGAAAAGCCAAAACTATTATCTCTATTATATATATATATATATATATATATATATATATATATATATATATGGATCTTAAAAATGTAATATACTATATATACATTTGTTTTTTTTTTATTAACAGATAAATAACACAGATGAAAGATCTCGTGTGTAGTTGACTACAAACCATTTTTCAGTTTGTTTCAATAGTGATATGCAAATTCAATATTATTTTTGTCTTGATAAAATTTAGAAATCTATTAAATATTTTTATATTGTAAAATTGCTAAGAAAAAATTGACAATTTTTTGCAGGTTTCTATGAGATTTTTTTAATTCATAATTGTTCTTCTTATTTTATATTACTTATGAATTATATTTAAATTTTTATCACATTTTTTATGGGATTGTGATATCTATGAGATTTTTATCACATTTTTAATATGTCACTGTCTCTTGTATATTTTTCTTACATTTGTTTTTTTAATAGTTAACTTTTATTAAAAATATACTAATGATGTTAATTTTTTTTTACTTTAGTTAACTTTCATATGTTTTATTCTTATATATTTTTGTGACTTTTTTAGTTTTTGTTTCATTTTAATATTGAATTTAGTTCACATACTTTATGTGTATATGTTTTAAAACATAATTTTTCTTTTAAAAAATTAAGCGACAAAGAGCGTAATTAAACTGATCCAAAAACAAATCGAACTGAATATAAATTGAACTGGACATAAACCACACCGAAGGAGACTAAATAAGGTTTATTTCAGTTGAAAAAATATATTAAAACCGAACTAAACAAACCAAACCAAAAATTTACGATTTGTCCGTCCCTACTGCATCCTAGAGATTTGCGCAAATCTTGTCTCAGCATTGAAACTCTCACTTGTTCCACTAACTCACACATTTGAACTCAATAGATACTCTTGTCTCAGCATTATACTATATTTTTATACCCGCACAGGGTGCGGGCCGGTCACCTAGTTTGTACTTAAATTAGTCTCTTTAGTGTTGTTTAAAATTTCTAACTACACTAAAAATTTATATTAATGTATCCAAATTTATTTTCATGGTACATGGACATCAATTATAATTTTTCAACGAGTAATTTAATAAACTTCATCTACCACGTAAATCAAAGAACTAAACCTTATGAAATCTCTGTATTCTAGAGAAATTGGAACAACAAAGGTATCAGACATCCTTGATCTCCATCATATATTTGTGCTGGATGCATATATGCATTAAAAGAAAAGTACCATGTTTTCTAATTTCTCTCAAAATCTTTGGGTTAACTCGTACAAAAAGAACGAGTTTTTCAATATATGATATTTATTGAGGTTTAAGCTCTTTTTGTTGATTAAAAAATATCTAATCATATTATACATTTATAGTAATATATGTTAAACATATTTTCATGGTACACGGGCGACGTTTCTGATATTTTAATGAGTAATTTAATAAAATTTCATATTTCACCTAATTCAGTGGATTAATCCCTATAAAATCTGTAGGTTCTGGAGAAACGGGGACATATAAAACCCCAGACCTCTTTAATTTTCATCACATGTAAGTGCAAGATGAAGTTATGCATTAAAACAATATACCATATTTTCTAATTTATCTTACAAAGCGATCGAGTTTTTTTTCCAATAAATGTTGTTTATACTAAAGTTTAGCCTCATTAATGTTTTTATGGTACATGGGCATCAATTATAGTTTTTCATCGAGTAATTTAATAAAACTTCATGTACCACCTAAATCAAAGAACACAACCAGTGAAATCCCTATATTCTAGAGTAATTGGAACAAAAAAAATGTTAGAAATCCTTGATCTTCATCATATATATGTGTTGGATGCATCTACGCATTAAAAAAAAATACCATATTTTCTAATTTATTCTGAAATCTATGGGTTAACCCGTACAAAAGATCGAGTTTTTTGATAATTGCTATTTACTGAAGTTTAAGTTCTTTTTGTTGATTAAAAATATCTAATGAAATTACCCATTTATATTAATGTATGATAAAATTATTTTCACGGTAAATGGAAAGTATTTCTAATATTTAAATGAGTAATTTAATAAAACTTCATATTCCACCTAATTCAGTGAAGTAGTCCCTATAAAATCTGTAAGTTTTGGAGAAACGAGGACAAATACAATCCCAAAAATCTATAATTTTCATCACATGTCAGTGCAAGATGAAGTTATGCATTAAAACAAAATACTATATTTCTAATTTATCTTACGAAACAATAGAGTTTTTTTCCAATAAATGTTATATATACTAAACTATAGTCTCATTGATGTTTTTTAAATACATAACCACACTCTAAATGTATATTAATGTATTCTAAACATGTTTTCATGGTATATGAGCATCATTTTTAATTTTCCAACAAGTATGTTTTTAAACTTCTTATCGACCTAATTAGTGTATTAACCCCTATAAAATCTCTATTTTCTAGAGAAATGAGAACACTTAAGGTCTCAAACCTCTTTAATATTCATATTATGCCAGTGCATGATGCAAATATGCTTTAAAACAATCCATATTTTCAAAAGTTTCATGAAATATGTGGGTGTAACCCTACGAAAAGATTAATTTTTTTGATAAAGACTATCTATACTATTTAGCATCTTTAGTGTTTTTTTTTAAAACTACCTAACCACAATCCATATATATATATATATATATATATATATATATATATATATATGCTAAACTTATTTTCATGGTACATGGGCATCGTTTCTAATTTTTAATTAGCAATTTGTTTAAAATTCATATACCACTTAATAAGTTGACTAACCCCTACAAAAAACTTTATTTTCTGGAGAAACGGGAACACCTAAGGTTTCAAATCTCTTTATTCTCCATACTATGTCAATGCAAGATGCAGAAATTCATTAAAAAAAATCATATTTTCTAATTTATCTTAAAATATGTGTGCTAATTCCTACAAAAATATCAAGTTTTCCGATAAATATTATATATAGGCTTCTTTAGTTTTGTTTAAAAATACCTAACTACATTCAAAACTGATACTAGTGTAATAAAAATATATTCATGGTACATGGACATCAGTTCTAATTTTTAACCGAATAATTTAATAAAACTCCACATTTCACCAAAATGAGTGAATTAAACGCTATAAACTCTATTTTCTACAGAAATTTGGGCAACTAAGATATCAAAACTATTTGATATTCATCCTATATTAGTGCTGGATGCAGTTGTGCATGAAAAAATTAAAAAAAAGTTTCATATATTCTAATTTATCTCGAAATATGTGAATCTACCAAAAGATCAAGTTTTTCCGATAAATGCTATTTGTACTTAAGTTAGCCTCTTTAGTGCTGTTTAAAATATCTAACCATATTAAAAACTTATACTAGTATATCCTAAATTTATTTTCATGGTATATGGGAAACTGTTATAATCTTCTAACTACTAATAGAATAAAACTTCATATACCACTTAAATCGAAGAACTAAACCTTATGAAATCTCTATATTCTAGAGAAATTAGAACAAAAAATATATCAGGCATCCTTTGATCTTCACCATATATCTGTGCTGGATGCATCTATACATTAAAAGAAAAGTACTATATTTTCTCATTTATTTTGAAATCTATGGGTTAACCCATACAAAAAGATCGGGTTTTTAGATAAATGCTATTTATTGAAGTTTAAGCTTATTTTTGTTGATTAAAAAAATATCTAATCACATTATACATTTATATTAATGTATATTAAACTTCTTTTCATGGTACATGAGCAATGATTCTAATATTTGAATGAGTAATTTAGTAAAACTTCATATTCCACCTAATTCACTAGACTAACCCTTATAAATCTGTAAGTTCTGAAGAAACGGGGACAGATAAAATACCAGACCTCTTTAATTTTCATCACATGTAAGTGCAAGCTAAAGTTATGCACTTAAACAAAATCCGATATTTTCTAATTTATCTTACGAACGATCGAGTTTTTGTTTTCTAATAAATGTTATATATACTAAAGTTTAGCTTCATGAATGTTTTTTAAACTATATTACCACACTATAAATGTATATTAATGTATTATATACATAACTTCATGGTACATGAGCATCATTTTATAATTTTCCAGTGAGTAAGTTTTTAAACTTCTTATACGACCGAATTAGTGTACTAACCGATATAAAATATTTATTTTAGAGAAATGGGAACACCTAAGGTTTTAAACCTCTTCAATATTCATACTATGTCAGTGAATGATACAACTATGCATTAAAACAAAAATTCCATATTTTCTATTTTTTTCTTGAAATACGTGGATTAACTCTTACGACAAGATTGAATTTTTCGATAACTACTATCTATACTAATTAACCTCTTTAGTATTGTTTAAAAATACCTAACCACACTCAAAATTTATATATATGTATGCTAAACTTATTTTCATGATGCATGGAGATCATTTCTAATTTTTCAATTAGTAATATATTTTAAATTCATGTACCACCTAATAAGTGGAATAACCTCTATAAAAACTTGATTTTCTAGAGAAACGAGAAAACCTAAGGTCTCAATCCTCTTTATTCTCCCTACTATGCCAGTACATGATGAAACAATCATTAAACAAAAATATCTTATTTTTTTAATTTATCTTGAAATATATGGGCTAACCCCTACAAAAAGATTGAGTTTTCGATAAATATTATATATAGGTCTCTTTTTTTTTTTATAACACAATATAGGTCTCTTTAATTTTGTTTAAAAATACCTGACTACATTCAAAATTTGTATTAATGTAATAAAATTATATTCATGGTACATGGCATCAGTTCCATTTTTTAACCGAGAAATTTAATAAAACTTCACATATCACTAAAATGAATGAACTAAACCCTATAAAATTCTATTTTCTAAAGACATTTGGGAAGATAAGGTATCAAAACTCTTTGATATTTATCATATAGCAGTTATGGATGCAGCTATGCATAATAAAAAAATTTCATATTTTCTAATTTATCTTGAAATATGTGGGTTAATCCTACGAAACGATCGTGCTTTTCCGATACATTCTATTTGTACTTAAGTTATGCTCTTTAGTATTTTTTAAAATATATAACCACATTAAAAAATTATACTAATGTATCCAAAATTTAGTTTCATGGTATATGGGCATCAGTTATAATTTTCCAACAAGTAATTTGATAAAACTTTATATACCACGTAAATCAAATAATTAAACCTTATGAAATTTTTATATTTTAGAGAAATTAAAACAACAAAGGTGTCAGACATCCTTGATATCCATCATATAATTGTGCTGGATGCATCTATTCATTAAAAGAAAAGTACCATATTTTTTAGTTTATCTTGAAAAATTTGGTTAACCTGTACAAAAAGAACGAGTTTTCCGATATATGTTATTTATTGAAGTTTAAGTTCTTTTTTGTTGTTTAAAAAAAAATCTAATAACATTATGCATTTATATTACTGTATGTTAAAACGTATTTTCATGGTACACGGACAACGTTTTGAATATTTTCCAGTAATTTAATAAAACTTCATATTTCACCTAATTTAGTGGATTAACCTCTATAAAATCTGTAGGTTCTCAGACCTCTTTAATTTTCATCACATGTCAGTGTAAGATGGAATTATGAATTAAAAAATACCATATTTTCTAATTTATCTTACGAAACGATCGAGTTTTTTTTCCAATAAATGTTATATTTCCAAAAAAACTTAGCCTCATTAATTTTTAATACATAACCACACTCTAAATGTATATTAATGTATTCTAAACATATTTTCATGTTACATGGACATCATTTTAAATTTTCCAACGAATAATTTTTTAAAGCTTCATATACGATCTTATTAGTGTACTAACATGTATACAATCTCAGTTTACTAGAGAAATGAAACATCTAAGATCTCAAACCTCTTTAATAGTCATACTATGTCAGTGCATGATGCAGCTATGTATTAAAAAAATTCCATATTTTCAAAATTTTCTTGAAAATGTGGGTTAACAACCCCTACGAAAAGATTGATATTTTCGATAAATACTATTTATACTATTTAGTCTTTTTAGTTTTGTTTAAAAATACTCATCCACACTCCAAATTTATATATATGTATCCTAAAATATTTTCATGGTGTATGGGCAACATTTATAACTTTCCAATTAATAATTTATTTAAATTCATATACCACCTAATAAGTGGATTAATCCCAACAAAAATTTTATTTCTGGAGAAACGGAAACACTTAAGGTATGAACCCTGTTTATTCTCTATACTATGTGAGTGCATGATGTAACAATTCATTAAAAAAATATCATATTTTTAAATTTATCTTGAAATATGTGGGCTAACCCTTACAAAAATATCAAGTTTTTCGATAAACGTTATATATAGGCTTCTTTTGTTTTGTTTAAAAATACCTAATCACATTTAAAATTTATATTAATGTACTAAACTCATATTCATGGTATATGGGCATCAGTTCTAATTTTCAACCGAAAATTTAATAAAAATCTATATACCACTAAAATCAATGAACTAGACCCTTAAAAATCTCTATTTTCTAGAGAATTTTGGAAAAATGAGTTATCAAACTCTTTAATATTTATCATATATCAGTCTTGGATGAAACTATGCATAAATACAAAAATTCTATAGTTTTCTAATTTATCTTGAAATCTGTTTATTAACCCCGACAAAAGATCAAGTTTTTCCAATAAATGATATATCTACTTAAGTTTAGCCTCTTTAGTGTTATTTCAATTATCTAGCCACATTATTAACTAAGATATTTTCATGGTGCATGACAACATTTCTAATTTTCCAATTAGTAATTTATATAAAATTCATATACCACATAATAAGTGGACTAAACCTTATAAATTTTTTATTTTCTGGAGAAACAAAAACACCTAAGATATCAACCCTCTTTATTCTTTATACTATATCGTGCATAATGTAACAATTCATTAAACAAAAATATCATATTTTCTAATTTATCTTGAAATATGTAGACTTACCCCTACAAAAAAATTGAGTTGTCCGATAAACATTATATATGCCTCTTTTATTTTGTTTAAAATACCAAACCACATTTGAAATTTAAATTAATGTACTAAACTCATGTTCATGGTATATGGACATCAGTTCTTATTTTCAACCGAAGAATTTAATAAAAATCTATATACCACCAAAATCAATGAACTAAACCCTATGAAATTTCTATTTTTTGATCAAAAAAAAAAGAGAACTGGATAAATTTATATTCATCATATATCAATCTTAGATGCACTATGCATAAATACAACAAGTCTATATATTTTTTAATTTATCTTAAAATCTGTGGATTAACCCTTATAAAAGATTGTGTTTTTCGGATAAATGATATATATATATATATATATATTTAAATTTAACATATTTAGTGTTGTTTCATATATGCAGCCACATTATTAACTAGAAAAATATATGATTCAGTATATCTGTAAATGAAGAAAAATTATGAGTGTGGTTCTGTATTAAAAACATTAATCAGAAAATCCCTTATATATTAATCCTGAAGCATTCATAAATGCACAACCTTGGAGGGCATGCTTACGGGTCAAGTTCACAGAGCTTCTCAGCTTTAATTTTCTAATAATGGACCAACTTTGTTAGGAATAAAATAATGTAACATTAAATTTCTTACATTTAGGACTATAATATATAGACATTTTTTAAGGGACCAACTCTGCTAGGTATAAAACAATATATTTTATTTCCTTAAATAAAAGCTACGGAATTACCTAATATGATTAACATATATAAGTAATTAATGATTATAAATAATACATATTTTTGTAACCTCTCTCTTTTTTGTTTAATTTTAAATTATTAAAATAAATTAAATAATCACATTTAAATATATAATAAAAAATATTTTTTTTCTTATAGGTTATATTTTTAATTTTTTAAAACGACCATAAATAACTAAAAATAGTAAAATCCCACATTAAAATTTTTATGATCAATGGTTTAACTTTGTTTTTTTTTTCAAAGAAGATACAAATTATCATAAATCGTACGAATATGGAGTATCATTAGTAGATATTCATACTATAAATATGTTAATTTAAAAAATTCAGTGAAAAGGTTTGAGGTTAGTAGATACAAATTATAGTATTCGAAAGATTTTTGTAGTTTGTTTTATTTGCTTCTTTTTTTAAAATATCTTTTAGTTTGTTTAGATAATTTAACTAATTTTAAATTAGATTTATTAATAGTTTAAATATTTTGATTTTTTTGTCAACTTTTAATGTTTAACAATTATTTTTTGGGATGATTTCAGATATTGGTTACAATCCAATCCAAATTGAATTGAGAAGATCAAATCGAATCCAATCCGATAATTAATAAAATTCAAATAGGATTTATGAGAATAATACCAAAATCTGAAAATACGTGTCAATCAAACTAAAACCGACGAAGTCTCAAACGTCCAAACCTTTGATGATTTAAGATACCAACATTTGTATTTATAATTTTATAATCGATAAATACTGTAGTATTGCAAAATGTTAAAAACCATTTAATGAATAAATATTAGTATAAAAATTTTACCCCGCGCGTATCATCTAGTGATCTTATTAAAGCAAATACATAATTTAATATTTTTATAGTGCAAAAAATGAATTCAAGTGAAGCATTAAGCTATGAATATAATAAATAACATCACCAAGCTTATATATCATCACCATTCCATCATCGTCATCAAGAACGAAGATTACAATCTAAAGGCTGTAACCAGACTGAGCAGTGTACAATCTATGAAGCCGTCTCTTTCGGTATCTCCAAGCCACCTGAATCTGCCTAGCTGCTCGTAGCCTCCAATATGGAGATTCATACCTAATGGCTCCTTGCACTCTAGGATTCCTTAAGAACCTCGAGAACAAGCTTGTTACGTCTTCAAGATCTGCTACACTCAGTGAAAACGCCTCCACGTTTGTCACACACCTAACATTTCTGTTGCTTAGCAATCCCTTTGATGGCATTTTTATCCTCGTTCCATCTGCATGTTCCAAAGCATACTCAGTTTCCAATTAACTCAAAAGCTTTGAGGTTATGAGCACATAGAGAGTCAACAAGAGACGTACCAGGGTTTACAGAAGAGCGTTCAAGGCACCAAGTGAGGAGCTCTTCACCACAAACGTCTCCCTCTGATAGAGGAAGAACAGAACCGTCTTCTCCAATGCTCTCCATCTCACCTCTCACTATGAATACCATTTTCTCAACTAGACCTCCACGGTGCAGCACTGTGCTACTACTTATGTATGTTCTTTGTTTTAGCCTCTCACGGATAGCATCTAAGATTGATTCATCCATCAACGAAAATATCCTCACCTACAAACCCCACTAACATTTTCAGCAAAACTAGCTAGACATTTTCAAGAAATGGACTCTGATGTTTTACCTTCTTGAGAAATATGAATAGGTGTCGTCTTATATCTCTTTGAAGGTCATCAGGCATATTCTCAAATAGCAATTCTTCTTTAACTCCTCTAGTAGCAGCCCAGTTGAAACGCTCTGCTTCTCGCACCCTCCTTAATAATGTACGTAGAAACAACTATTCAGTTACTTTATAGATACACACCATAAAATCTTCAAAAAAAGTTAAGAGGCATAGTCCACATACTTTCTTATACCTTCTGGTAACCTTCTATGGCTCATCCATTGCTCCACATCACGCCGTCTCAATGTCATTTCCAAATTCCTAAGATGTAAAAATATATTCACTATGTCTTGAGATATATTCTAATGATATGGAAGTTACTTACCTTCGACCAAGAGCTTGAAGGAAGTTCTGCATATTACCAATAAGAAGTGCAAAAAGCAATAGCCCTAGTCCAATAATCCCCATGGTAAAAAAGACCTCCCCAAGAAAGTAACTTGGCTCTTGGTTTCCAGCAAGCGTGCTGATTTGCTTTTGAGAGTTGTAAACAAGGCACATTCATTAAGATGTGACAACTAGTGAAACTGTTGTGTGATAAAACAAACTACCTGGAAGCCCCAGAAAAGAGAGTAACTATATCTTGTGAAGAGGCTTGTGTGATTGGTGAGATTAACTGCCTTCATATAAATCCCATAAGGAAAACCATCCTCTTGAAAACAAGCACTTGCACTCTCGTTACTTTTCCATGCAGCAAAGGCTTGATAGCTATCTCCACGACCACAATCTATAAGATCTCTACACTCATGATCAGAGTTACCACAAGCATCTCGAAGGCATTGATTTACTCTCTGAAAGATACAAAAGAAAAAAGGAGGCAATCAATGAGAAGAATCAATAAGCCAATAAGAATCAGTAAGCAAGTTTTGAGAATTTTTTTGCAGTACCTGGAGACCAAAAAGGTACCAGCAAGATCCAACAACATGACCAGCAAGCATGAAGGTGAGAAGATTAATAACAAAGTTAGCCCAAGCCGACTCAAATATGAACCCTGTAGGTGTTTGGCCAGCAAGAAGTGGAAGAAGCCTATACAACTTTGGAATGTATTGGAAAAGAACTGCAGCGCGTAAAAGGTTCTTTGCATAGTTTGCACCAGATGCACCTAAGTGTGCTGNTTAAAACTACAAATGTTTTGGCCATAGGCCAATCGATATCAATGCATTTGTCATTCTGCAGTATACCAAAGATTTTTGTAAATGAAATAATACAAAACATGAGAAACAAAAGATAGAGAAGGAGAGAGTAAGCATACCTGTTTGACTAATATGAGAAAGAAGAAGAGAGGATCTATAAAAATAGCCAACAAGCATGAGAGGGCAAAGAACTTAGTCCAGCTCTGAACAAATTTGGAGTGAGGATTCATGATTCCTGGTAAGTATCTATTAGCAGTTGTAGCCAACCGCTTAGCCCAGCCTTTAGCATCATCATACAGAGCATTATGGAACTAGTAAGATAAAAAAAAACACTCTGTTTCAGCTACATTTACTTGATCAGCAAGCTACTCTTTGACAGCATTGAGTAAAGAAATAAAAGATACCTTGGAGTCAAAGAAGGCAGAAACTCTGGAACTAGGGATTTGAGCAGCTTTACGGTTGTAATAAGAAGGACAAACGGTACAGTAAGGATCATTACACATCCCCAACTGTCCAGATCTCAATAGATTTGCGTGTTTCAAGACAAACTCGTCGTCTGAGTTCTTGTGTTTAGCAGCATAAGAAGGATACTTCTCAGGCTGTGAGGAGGAGACAGTACCAACTGAATCAGAAGTAGGAGGAAGAATAAAAAGAGGCTCAGGACAGCGAGTAGATGAAAGAGGACCACTCATTTGAACTAAAGGAGGTTGTCTCTGTGTTCGAAGAGGACCCGTGTAGCCTAACACCACCGTGGAGCTGTCGAATCCATCAATGGTGGAACAAGTGTTTGAGAGAGACACGCTACGAGACCTTGAAGTGAAAGGCCTAGTAGTACGAGATGTGTCTGAGATTGGAAGCATGGGAACATCATCGTTCTCCTTTGGGGAAGCCATGTCAGAGACAAGTTTCAAGAAGAAGAAAGGTAGGGCATAAGAGAAGAATCAGCGGCTGAGAGTTTCCAAGAAGATGAAGCAGAGACTTTTAAAGAGTTTTACCAAAGAAGGAGACGATGACTGAGTCGGGCGGCTCTTATAGAATCAAATCTCGTCAAGCCAACTGTATATTTTACGTTTATTATTAAATCGTATTTGGCTTATTAGAAGTGTGTCTAGGTGTGAACATGAAAAGAGATAAGCTACGTCAGACACAAATCAAGACATTTGCGAGGACTTGACTTTTTATTTCATTGTCTATTAATATGGTGGGTCCCTTCTACTATTGTGTTTTTTGGTCTTGTGATGGAAATAAATCATTTGACGTTACTATTTAAGTGAATGTAGCGAAATTATTGCCAAAATGTTTGATTAAAAAATTCCATTATTGGATCATCTACCAAATGTCACTAATTGGAAACAAATTTTCCGTTAACCACTTATTTTTCTTTATCCTACTTTTTCAGTATAATTGGGCCCAATATAGAATGGCCGCTTTGGTACTGAAACAGAACAACTTTTTGTTTTTTTTACTAAAAAAACAGAACAACTTCAAATCTTTGGTGGAGGTATTAGAATCAAGAATTGAATTGAATTGATATTCCATTAAATTATTTTGTTATTCAACCATGGATTCCATCAATTTTTTGAAATTCTTGTGTTATTAAATTTAGTGATTTTCTAATTCCATTAAATATTTATGTGATTTTATTTTTGGTGAATTGTGTGGTAATTGTATTTAAATGAAACTTAATATAAAATTTCCTAAAAATGTAAAGAACCAATTCTCAGCCTAGACTGATATTTAAATTATATTTTTTAGTTATCAGATATATACGTCAAAAGTATTGATCATTATTATAATATGAAAAATTTGAAAACATAATTTTCATTATAAATTTATAAATATACTGTTATCTTGACAAATAATTATAAAATATATCATGTCGTAATTTAAGTTTTCATGAAACTTTTTTAATTCTAAATGACTACATATTCACATCGTTTATACATAATTAGCTTGATTATTACTATTTGCATCAGTCAAAGTTTTTAATTCAGTTTTTCTTTAATAATTTTCTCATTTTATATAAAATAAAAATGATTAAATTTTTTATAAACTTATTCTCTTCTTATAAAAAATACTAGTTCATAGGATTTATAGAAATTGTATCAAATTTATTTGAGTTCTTTTAAAATCCAATACATTAGAATTAAACAGATGCATTAAAATTATTATCAAATTTTTAAAGTACCTTTAAAACCATTACTTTTATCTTTAATTGAATTCTTTTAAAATCAGTGAAATTATTCAATCCAATACCACCCCTTCATCTCACTTGGTTAATCAAAAGTAATCCACCATAAGTTTTTCTTTTGAAACATTTTTAATAGAGTGAGTTGTTTACCTTTGATCAAGAGCTTAAAGGAAGTTGTGCATACCAATAAACCTCGCAGAAAGCATAACCCTTAGTCCAGTGATACCATTGTAAGGAAAACCTCCCCCACTGAGTAACTCCAGGGCCGGTTCAAACGTTTTTCAGGCTCCCTACGGCAAAATTTGTTTAAAAAAAAAAAAAAGAGCCCTTAATTTCAATCAAAAAGAGACCCAAAACAATAAAACAACCACAATCTTCTTGGGTTTTAGAATTTTTTTTCTTGCTTAATACCAAAACAAAATCAGTGATCCGACCGTAATTCTTTATATGCCCATGTCTTTTCTTATATTAATTGTTAGTTATATGTGTAAAATCATCTTTTACTTTATGCAAGAATCAAAGAACCAAAAAAAAATCAATGATTTTTCTAGAAGTTCAAACGTAGAGAAAAACTGAAAACAGGATAACATATAATATAATGACCACTTACAGAAAAAAAAAATCAAATGCAACTTGAAGAATTAAGGATTTTGAGATCTTTTGAAATTGTATCGTCACCGACTCACCGGAGTCTGAAAATATGAACAGTCTTTAAAAGAGAAAGACAATTTTTGATAAAAATGTTTATATTTTGAAAAACCTACATTTCGGTTAAACTGATATTTAATGTTAAAATATTATTTTAGTTAATAATTTGGTGAAAGTTTATACAGATCAGTGGAACAGTATCTGATCTCTTTCTAAATTGCTTTGTCTGGTTTTCTAATGAATCTGCAGTGCACAGCGAACACGGAGTTCCAGCAGGAGTTGTCATACCATTCGGATCCATGGAGTTAGCTTTAAAGCAAAGCAACTCAGAAGAAAAGCTCACATCACTCCTAGAAAACTTAGAAACCGCCACACATGAAGACGGTAAACTAGACAGCATATGTGATCAGATCAACAAACTAATGAAATCACTGCAAGTCCCTAAAGAAACAATCAACACCATAAGCAAAGCCTTTCCCAAAGACACACGTCTCATAGTTCGTTCAAGCGCCAACGTAGAGGACTTGGCAGGAATGTCAGCAGCAGGACTCTCTGAATCAATCCCCAACGTGACTCCCTCAGATCCTTCACTCTTCTCTGCGTCTGTGTCCCGAGTTTGGGCTTCTCTCTACACAAGAAGAGCTGTTCTAAGCCGTAGAGCTGCTGGTGTATCTCAAAGAGAAGCTTCAATGGCTGTTCTTGTTCAAGAAATGCTTTCTCCTGACTTATCTTTCGTTCTCCACACTGTGAGTCCATCTGATCCAAGCCGCAACCTAGTGGAAGCTGAGATAGCTCCTGGTTTGGGTGAGACTTTGGCTTCAGGGACGAGAGGAACACCGTGGAGACTTGCTTCTGGTAAGCTTGATGGGACTGTGCAGACCTTAGCGTTTGCTAACTTTAGTGAAGAGCTTCTTGTGTTGGGTAGAGGTCCTGCTGATGGAATGTATGTGATAGAGTTTGATTATCGAATCCTCTGTAAAACTCAATAACAAACACTTTATTGAATCAATCAAGAACGGTTACACTTAGTATTCGAAAACAAATGAGAATCGCTGGCCTAACCCAGACGATTACTCCTCAAGACTCTCGTCTCTATCTCCAAATACCAAGCTAAACACAAATGAAAAGCCTCAACGGCTATTTAACAGACGCAACATACATAACGGCAAAGCCGCTAAATGAAACAGAGACTCTTTCATGACTCAAACCCTCCGTTCCAAATCAAGTCTCTGAAGCGTCGAACCCTCCACCAGAAGTGGAGTCTTTCTCCAAATTCAAACCTTCTTGAATTTCCCTCTCACCTTCTTCTCTCGTCGAACGTTTCCTCCTCCTCACGTAACGATGTTGCGGCTTATCAATACCCCCCCGTTTCGAAACGAAGCTTGTCCTCAAGCTTGAACTCAGGGAACTGCGAACGGAACTCCCCGTATAATACCCAAGAATTCTCTGTAGAAGGTAATGACTGCCACTTAACCAACAACTCCAAACTGCCTTTGTCATTATAACGCGTCTCCAAGACTTCCTCAGTCATGATCACTATGTCCTCCAATCCAGAAGGATGAATAGGTAACGGAAGGACATGATGATGAGCACCTAAGACCGCCTTTAGCTGCGAAACGTGGAACACAAGATGAATCCTAGTCTCAGGAGGTAAAGCGAGGCGATAGGCTGCTTTCCCAATACGCTCCAAGACCTCGTAAGGACCAAAGTACTTGGCTGCGAGCTTCTGACAAACCCGCCTTACCACGGATTGTTGGCGATAAGGACGTAGTTTCAAGAAGACCAAGTCACCAACCTTGTATTCCACGTCGCGACGATGTTTGTCTGCATTGTTCTTCATGAGTTGTTGAGCATGTGTCAAATGACTTTTAACATTAGCTAACAACGCGTCTCTCTCCTGCAACATACTCTCCAAATCCGCGTTCTCCGTAGACCCCTTCTCAAACTTTAGCAACAATGGAGGTTC